GCTGTTATTAAATTTGATCTCCTATCACGCTACTTGTTCAACAGCCTTACTAGTTCAGACCAAACGTTCCTTAAGCTTTACATAGACCAAGTAATTGTCAAACACAAATTTTGGTGCCTTGGTATTTGGAGGTTTTTTTCCCCAGGCACTTGATAGATGTCTAACATCTGTTCTAGTTGCACATTTTTGTGGTCTTCTGTTTTTTTCCAAAAAGGCTAGTAATTCATCCCAGTTTTGATTTTTATTTATTTTGAAAAGTTTTCACCCAAGAGACTAAAGAAAAAATATCACACAGTACAAAATGGCTTCTGAAAATCTATTTTTCTTGAGCACTTTTCCTTATTGTGGAGTAACACACAAAAAAGCTCGAGCAAATCTTCTTTTGGAACAGTTATGTTCATTTTTTCCTTATAAACTATTAGCCATAAGCCATCTTTTTCGATCCATTTTTTAAAACCTGAAATAAGAACGCACAAGTGGCACTTGGTGCTTTTCCAGATGAGAACTAGACATTACTGGCTGAGCTTCAGCATGAATATTCTCTAATGAGAGGCAGTGCAGTTGGCAGCTTCATTCTCAATACAATACCTTGATATTTTTCCATCTAATTCTGAAGATTTCCTAATAACTTCTACCTTCAGCCTATTTTAAAATAAGTGCTTTTATTAAACACTGCACTGGTTGTTAGGTAACTGCTCTGATTTTTTTGCTACAATACTTTGCTTTCTGAAATGCAAACTGCACACTAACTCATTTCTAGAAACTCTTACACCCCACCCCCCCCAAGTGAGAACATTAGATGTAGAAAACTAGAGGTTTCAATAATGGAATTCCCTTTACTATTAACAGATTTAGACCTCATCCCCTTATTATTTACTTTATAGTTCACAAATAAGTACCTTGTCTTTCTAAATACTTTTGTTCTACACAAGTTATGCTTACCATCTGACTGCTTCAGCTTCTGTACTTCAGGAATAAATTCCAAAATAAACTCCTACCCCCAATCCTGTAGTCTTTCACATTTAATTTCTTTACACGTAGTAACAACTTGTATTCCTTGTAGCGACTGAAATGTTTGTACATTAAAAAAAATCCTGGTTTTAGTAAACGTGTGCAACAACAAAGGTGCCAAAGTTTGTTACCCACTTAACAGAGAGAGTCGTAACACATTCTGCAAATACATTTATTGTCAAGATCTCAAGCTTGTCTAGGCCACCCATCTAGAATATACATTTCAAAAGCATATTTGTACATCAAAGACAGGTACAGTAATAACACTTTGTTAGCAAGATTACAACTTAATGTCTTGATTTAGTTAGTCATCAAGATTCAGATTTACAGGAAAGTCCTTGGTATTTACATTCAATAGGACCTTCAGTCAGTGGGGGTGAAGGTTGCTTTGTCTCACATAAAGTTCCTGAAAAGTTTGTGAGGACCACACCAGGAGAATATGACTTACCTAAGCTCTGATTCACAAGGTGACCAGCTATTTGTAGCCCAAAGTCACCTGAATGTTTTTGTTGCTCCATAGCACAGATCCGCCAGCCACCACCTGACCTGCTTCATTTGTGACACGAAGACTGTTCCTGCTTCCCCTGTGTTTTCATGTGCTTGTATCATACTACTGACCTCCTATGACTTGTCCTGGAGTACTCAATGTAGTGGTCTCTGCATCCAGTTGGAAGTTGCCATTTTTACTCCATTCCAGCTCTTTGGTAATCCAGAATTACTTTTCTACAATGGCACCCTCACTCTGTTATGTATGAAGTAAGGTTGAGGCCCACCTCTGCAAAGCTCTGATTAAGGTTCGCATGACACCTTTCTCTAGACATCAGAAGAAAATACTGCTACCATTTTCCTTGTGAATCACCCTCCTGCTCAAGGATGCCAATCCACTTCTGTACAGATACCAGCCGCTATCAGACTACCCTGCAGCCCATGAAAGGAAAAAACCCTCTAGCATCTACCACTACAATCCACTTGCCCTACAACCCTGAAAGCACTGCAGTATCCCTCAGCCTGGATGCCCTCTGGGATTTCAAAGGGGCTCCGAACACTTCCAGTCAGGAGCTGTAGTCCACAGGAAGGTAGATGCCAAAGCTTACCCAGCTCCAACTCATACTGGCTAGGACCACAACCTCCCATCCCTTTGGGTGAAGGATTCTGCTCAGACAGCAATTGCTACAAGTGCTTGTAACAATATTGTTTGCTCTTACATCTCACAGAAGAGGATGTGATACATGCAAGAGTGTGGCTTGTACAAGCTTTATGCAAAGGTCCTGAAGGTAACAAGAAAAACAAAGTGGCATTTAAGGACAGATATTTTAAACTACAGATACTACTGCTGGCCACTTGCAACAAGCTATTTCTACCACATGGTTTTACCTTTACGTGGCTTTTTAATGCTCTTTATTGACCCATTCTGATTCTGGCCTATCACTACTCTGCCCAGTCTTGTCCCACCTGCCTTCATGCAACTGATCAATGCCTTCCAACAAAGACAAACCAAGCCACTTTGGCAAAGAGCTTTTACTTAGAGCCCAACACTGAAGCGAGAGAAATTTTTGAAAATGTTCTGGCAAAGGCACCAAGTCCTCCATTTTCTGCATTACTCTGCAAAGTAGTAGAGTCTGGAAGTGGCATCTGACCTGATACACACCTCAACCTAGGTCAGCACCTCAGACACCACACTCCGCTAGCTGAACCATTCATACACGCTGGCAGCACAAGTGTTTTTAGAGTCATTGTCAGCTAAGTTCATTATTACCACTGTACTTACAAGAACCACCACTACCCTGTGCTGCAATGGAAGCAAATAACCTGAAGGAGCTGCCAGTAAATACTGGAGCAAGCACTGAATCCCTTCCTCGTACAGCTACTTATATCCCACATTTGGAAATCGTCAGTTAACTTCCTGGAATTGCACTTCTGTTCAAACCAGTTTAGCTGCTTAGATGTCCACAATCAATTTTGGGAACGGAGATGACGTCCAGACAGCTCCTCAATTAACTTACTGGATAACATTAACAACAAAAAAACCCCACACAACAAGAGAGTAATGGGATGTGCATTCCCAAAGGATCACAAGAATTCAGCTAGATGGCGAACACTACCACCAAAATTAGGGAGAATGTTTTTCTTGAGTCAATCAGCTCTAAGGGCAACTGATGTGTAAGCAAGCAAGCAGGACACGGATACAACCATTTCTACTAGCTAGGGGTACTTCTACATTTGACTAGTCATGGGTAGATGGACACAAACAGCTAAGATGGAGTAACAGGAAACTGTAGGGAATAAATCTATATTCAAGATACTCTAATTCAACCACAGCACATCTGCACCAGCCCGAACGAAGAAGTCAAGTTTCAGCCTATACTGACGGGTGACCTACTTCAAGTATCTCCTCTTGGCAACGGGCGATCAAGAGCATGATGAAGAGCCAGGCACACACAGCAACACTCAATCATAACTTGAGTTCATTTGGTCATGAAGGCAAGCCCTTAAGCATTTAGTTCCAATTTAAATCATAAGTTATATATGCAGTTTAATTGAAGCACTTCCATATTTATTTTGAACAAAATAGGTTTTATCAGAAAGTTATACAAACCCAAAAAGCTTTAATTTTCAAAACCATACTTTATTTTTAAAGGCTAAGAGAAGTATTCAGAACTATATTTCTTAAGCAAAAGGATTCACATTTCATTTTGCAGGGTCATTAGTATGAGAAAAAGCATTTGGGGATTTTTTTTTTTTTTTTGCAACTGTTGTTGAGCTCCTACACCAATCCAGATTTATTTAAAAATGGTAATATCAGTTATGGCTTAAGATACAGAATTACAAGAGAGTAACACAAATGTTGAGACTCAAGTGATGAACAGGTAACTATGGTCATTTTTCCACAGAAAGATAATGTTTTAGCCAAGACAAAGAGAAGCAACAACTGTATTGGTAGACAAATCAACTGAACATCGTCAGCACAGACGCTGCTTCAAGGATACCCATGCTGTTAATCCACAAGCATTAGAAGAATGTTCTGTCTGCTCCAATTACTTCACCTTTTCCTCCATATCACAAGCCTCAAAACATCAAAGAAAGAAACAGTACCAGCTTTTTGGTTTTTTTGTGTGGTTGTTTTTTGTTTGGTTGTTTTTAAAAGAAAAGAATACAAGGAAAGATGGAAGACTACAATATGAGGTGAAGGAAGAGTCATCACTTCTAAACAGACAGCAGGACATTGGCCAAGAAATTTTAATCAATAAGCATTAAAGACTCAGACAGACTCAGAACCCAGAGCTGCAATTTTGTTGGGTATTCTCCCCTTCACTGATTTATAACTCTGTATTTACATGTTGTGGATGGCTTGGATTCAATGGGACAGAGGTAGTGATGGGAACAAGACTCCTTCCCTAAAGTCTCCAGACAGATGAAGCCTGGTAAGCATGGCCCCAAGGAAGGGCGAGTGCAACCAGCGGAGGACTTGCCAACTGGGAAAGGACAAGAGTACAAGCACAGACAGTAAGCTGCTCTCCCATACCCAAACTGATAAATAAAATGTTACGTAAAGGTGCTGGACAAGAATTGAGCAAGTAACAAAAATCTCTGTGGCCTCTGCAATTATGTACTTCATGTCAGGTTGTGCAAAGGATAGGACTGTACCTTTGCTACACAGTTGTGAAGATCAAAATACTACATTATTTGCAGTACTGCCAGAAGTTCCAGTGTGTAACTAGCTAGCATGGTTATACTGATAATTTTAATAGCTATATAAAGTCAGTCACCCATTAAAAAAAATAAACCCCGAAAACAAAACCCCAACATAAGGACATGTATTTGCAGACAATTCCTTTATCCAGTTAATTCTTCAGACTTGTCCCACCTTTGCTATACATGTGAGTAGGCCAACTTTTCTGTCCTAAGGCGATTAAGACAGACTTCAACTGTTAAAGTTCCTTCCTCTTTGCTCACTGAGAGTAATTAAAAAAAATCCAAAACAATGTAACAGCAGTTTTTTATCTTACACTCCTAGAATATTATATTTCTTACAGGAGCATTCATTGAAAATAAACTGTCTGTAATACTTATAATAAAAGATTGCAACTCTTGGACAAGAAGAGATGGTTGAAACTAGGTCATCTGACTATAATTTAAGTGGTGTAAATCAATCATTGAATAAAGTCAATGCTTGGGCTAGAGAGCAGTTCTCCTTAGAACACCCCATTTCTCTTCTTAAGAAGATCAGAGGTACAACGGTTTGTTTTATTGCAACACTGGTTAGCCAAATCCAATCCTTCCCATTCAGATATGATTTTTAAGAACCAGGGATTTTATGGTTTACTGCCAAATTTGGCAGACAATTTACTGATGAGATTCATGACCTTGGGATTGTTCTGGTACTTGGACATATTTGCTGGGTTCTGGACAACATCTTGGAATGCAATCATAACTTCTGGATCCTGCAAGACAAAAAGCAAAAAAACAGGGTATTTATAAAACAAGTCTACAAAAGTTAGCGGTTATGTGGTTCCAACACAAATCTAAGTCTTGCTCAGCTTTTCACACGACAAGACTAGATTAGAGTTTTAGGCAAGAGGTCTCTAAAGAGAATCCAGTGATACAGTGCATGCTGTTAATGCTGCATCAGGAAAAAACAGAGTCATTACTGAGCTTCTTACAGTAATAGCACAATGTGTGAGAAGGGAGTAAGAGAAGAGTTCTTTTTCCCCAAAACAAGAACCATCAAACACAGCCACACCTACTGGATTATTTGTATTCAGGCATCTTCAAATGCATTTTGAAGGAGGCAGGTGCTCAATGTGCGTAGCACATGTGTATGCATGATAACTCTCTTCTGAGCAATAGCTGCTACTCATCCCTTTCAGCCCTTTTCCTTCTAGCAGCAGAAACTTTAATCTGCTGGACTGCAAGTGGTGATGTGGCAATGTTTGGCTTTTAAAAATGCATCTAATTCTCAAGTTAGTCCCCACCTTCTCTGAGAAATCACAATTGGAAGAGAACCTTGTTATCTCATATCACACTACTGCATTCCAGTTTATAAATACATTCACATTACATTAAAGTCAGTGGTCAAAAAAATAACAACATCTTCTCTACTTAGTATGAGAAGCATTGATACTTTTTTCTGTACTTCAATTCTAGTTCAATAGAGGCCAAAGGTGTACTAATTTTTACTCATTTTACATGTGTATGTTTTGAACAGTGCCCTTTAATAAATCTGTACAGACTGGTTTTACATCTCAGCCTGGAAAAATGTTTCCATTATAAGCAATTTCTGCAAAGATTCATGTTTTCTTTAATTCATCTAGCGTACAAACAGTTTATTATGCCCAATACAAATCATCTGCATTAGCTGTAATTTCATCTTTCTAGCACATCTTTTAGGCAGTTTCACTAAAAGATACAGTCTTCCCTAGACTTCTAGCCCATTGCTACCACAGATGTATTCTTTGGAAACCATCAAAAACCAAGTGGTGGCCTCAGAGCTGTCTGCGCTACACCACCATCCTGTATCTATTCCAGTATCAGACACAGACAAAAGCTGTTTAACAAGTCTGATCCAAAATGTTGTTGGGAACCAAGAGTCAAGTCTTTTGTTAGAAGGATTTACAAGTGTTTTGTCTCCCTCACAAAAGGGAACCTGCAAAGTCTATGAAAAATAGGATGCTGTAGTTCAGAAAGCAGTCACTAGGTGTATTTTCTCCACTTTATAGGACGGTTATGCAAAGAAAAAAAAGACTACTTCCACAACCTCAAACTTCTTGAATTTCAGATTTCAAAATAAGGCATATGACAATAAACATTGTGTCACGTTGTTCAATCTGTGTTGCCACCTGTATATGAATCTGCAATTAAAAAGCTGAGTAAGCTTAGTCACCAGTCTGTGTCAAAGCACACCTAAAAACGTTAAATATCCAATTTTATGCTCTGTGTTTTATGGTCCTATAAATTCGCAGCAAGTTATTCCGTACTTGTGCAACTCCCTGGAAGCCCTCAACCTTAGATTGTGTTTATAAAAATGCTTAACACATCCAAGGTTTCACACTGATGAGCAATATTATCAGAAAAAAGGTTAAGACTGAGGTTATCAACGTTTCCATAGGGAAATATTTAGTATGTAAGGTGGAATGGGAACCATTGTATAAATAGCATTAGTGAAACATTCAGTTTTCTAACGCTCTAGTCTTTAGTTGCAGAAGGATGCAAAATACTTCTACGAAAAAAAGTTATCACTACGCTTTTTTCCAACTTACACATGTTGGTGGAAGTCTAGGTCTAACATACTACTACATGTTATATAAGGAATCCATAGGTGCATCTTATACTTCACTCCTTTTGAAAAGAACTTGTACACGACCCATGACAGCTCTCCAAAACACAAATGTCATGTTGTGGCCAGAGAAAGCAGCTGCACATGCAAGATAGGAAGTACTACAGAACCCTCTAGACAGCCAAAATAGTAAAGTAAGAGAAACACACACACAAAAATTTCAGCCAATTCTTCTGGAGACTAAAAAGCTTACGGGCAAACGAGCTAAAATAACATGCATTAGAAGTCATTGCAAAAAGTCACAACTACTACCATTAAAAAGCTATGAAAAGAAATGCAACGGTTTTGCCACTTTGAGTCTTTTGCACATAAAGACTAATATGAGCCACAATAACGAAAAACCCCAAAAAACCAAACGACAAACAAGGAAATATCTATATAGTTTATACTAGTTTGCAGAGATTCTTATCTTTATGCCAATGATAAGTAACAACTTCTATAAACACGTCCATAGGTGGCCATATCTGGTTCTTTGGTTACTTCTACAGATGCAAAGCTCAAGTTGACGGCGTAACTGGTTTAATCTAGCTCATGTTCAGGCATACGCTGTTGTAAGGTTTACCTAGATGTTAACACTCAGGGATATTTCAATGTTGGCTCGTGGAGAATAGTCTCAAAAATGATCACACAGAAGTCACTAAGTCTAAAGAGACTGAGGTCTTTATTCTCAGAATATTCCCGTTTCAGCAGTAACTCCTCACTATGAAAAATCTCTACATACTGTCAGTTGAAATAGTATCTTAAGATCAACAATTTGAGACACTTGTGTGATTCAGTATCTTCAGACTTTTCTGTACCTATGTAATAGTTGCCAGCTACCATTATCTATCAACACATTCCATCGCTGCACTGAGAGGAAGCCAAGCAGTAGAAACTACTGTCTTTTAAGACTAGAGCTAACACTGCCAATTCAGAGAGGACCAGAACATAGTCACTTAGACATTTTAGAAAAAGGTGGCAGTGCACACGTAGGTGAAATACTGAATAAATCATATCTAGATATAAAGTTTGTACAAAGAGGTCAGCAAGAGACTCAGGGCTTTGCTGACAGGTTCTACATGTAACAGCCTGCCTGCATTATCAAAAAACACTGTCAACACATATTCTTGCAACAGAGTCCCACAATATGTTGGGGTATATACAATCAGCATGCAATGGAGTCATCTTAAAGGCATGTGTCAAGTGCTTAATATTTAGCTGCACCTCAAAGCTCTGTTTTCAGCAACTCTAATTTCCAACTCCTGAATTACAGCATAAATTAGCCAGGTAATGAATACAACTATAACTCATCGGCTTTTTTGGATGGTTTGCATGCAAGTCAACATTGCTGGCTATGGCAGCCTAAGCAAAGGTGTGTTTCCAAACACCAGCAACCATTAAGTGAACCTGTGAATTTTTGCATGGAAAGTAATGCCTTTTTTTTTTTTTGGTGTGTGTGTGATTTCAGGGCATACCAAATAAGGGTCCCTTCTGATGCTTTTAATTAGATGGGTATCACAGCTGTTCAACGAGCTGAGAATAACACACAGCTCTAGTTTAACCACAACAATACAGAAAAAGTAACCAGATGCTTTTAAACTTGATCATATTAGTATGCAAACGTAACTATATAGCTCAGATTTTTCCCAGCCCACCTACCCCTAAAACTGATGTTGTCAGGTATGTTCTACTTAATCTGCTGGAATAATTCTCTTGTGTAAAAGTAGTCATGACATTGAGCAATTAATTAACTGAGCAGTTAATCAAGCCCACTGGGGAAGTAAGCTTTCTGAACGTGAATTTAGAAAAATGCCAGATGCAGAACTATTCTGATACTACTTTGCCTCTGGCAAAAACAAAACACTTAAATCCCCTAAGATAAAGGTAATTCTCATATCAATATTATTGTAATATATTGTGTTGCAACAATACTAACAATCACTTTCTGTTTGTGCATTATTATGTCACCACAACGTGTGTGCATTCAAAAAAAGGAGCAAGTGAATTACCGTGTGGGAAAAAAAACATTCAAGAGACTCAAACAGAGATGAAGAACTCTATATAGCACATAGCTTTGCCTATCACAGGCAAGTATGGGGCAGGGGGGTTCTTTAATTAAGCTCCCATCCTTTGAAAAATACCTAACATTGATTCCAGACAGTCTGGTGCTGCATACACAAGGGGAGAGTTTCACCACAGAAATAAGCAAGCACCCCGTTGCTATCCAGAAGGTCACATATTTCTTCCTTCCCTTAGCTCATAGGCGCTGTTCTTCCCTTGTTCAGAACATTTAGCTTTCATTTTAATAAATACTCACCTGCACAGCCACAAGGACTTCTGGATCACTGAGAATCTCATTGAGACCTGGCGCACCTCCAGGCATAGCCCAAGGAAATCCACCTGAAAACCCAAGACAAGAAGAATGCATGATGAAAAACATTTAGTTCATCTAAACAGGAGGCTCACAGAGAGACCAGACATGCTACCTTTGCCACACCTCTAAAGCCGTATCTTCCATAAAGCTACGGCTGGTCCACCAAATGGAAAGCAGGGTTTTCACCTTATTTTTCTGTGAAGACCTACACCTTATTTCATCCATGTTTTTAATGCAATTGAATAGGAGGCTTGTAATGAGTTCTAGCACTTGTACACAGATGTAGTTATTTTTCTGGTTAACTTAAATCAGGTAGGTTTCGAGCCCAGTGTCCTGGTTTCAGCAGGGACAGAGTTAAATTTTCTTCCTAGCAGTTGGTACAGTGCTGTGTTTGGGATTTAGGAGGAGAATAATGTTGATAACACACTGATGTTTTTAGCAGTTGCCAAGCAGTCAAGGACTTTTCAGCTTCTCATACTGCCCTGCCAATGAGGAGGCGGGCGGCACCCAAGAAGCTGGGAGGGGAAACAGCCAGGACAGCTGACCTAAACTGGCCAAAGGGATATTCCATACCATATGATGTCATACTCCATATATAACTGGGGGAGTTGGCCGGGAGGTGGGGCAGCTCAGGAATTAGCTGAGCATCAGCTTGTAAGCAACTGTGCTGTGCATCACTTGGTTTGTATATTATCATTATTATCTTTCTTTTCCATCCTGTTAAACTGGCTTTCCCGTTGCGGTCCCCCCCCCCCCCCCCGCCCCCGAGTCTCTACCCCATCTCACTGGGAGGGGGGGAGTGAGTGAACGGCTGTGTGGTTGTTTCAGCTGCTGGACGGGTTAAACCACGACACCCAGGAACACAAGGAGTTTGAATGCCTGGGGTGAACAATTCAGGGTAAAAGCAGATCAGCAGTACTCTGTCCCAGGCACATTCAATGTTTGGTGGGAACTTTAGGTTTGAAAAAATTGTACCACCAAAGAAAAAAAAAAAAAGAAAAAATCCCTGAAGCAAAATGCTTGAGGTGCAGTTTTTGAATCCTGTGCTGAGCAGGGTGAATATAGTCTCTATGGGGTTACCCCAACAAGCTGATATGGTTGGAGCATGCACACAGCTTACCTCAACTACATCTCAATCTTCAAGAGCTTTAGTACCTACTCTTGTTTCTCTCCAATTTACTGTACCCCAAAATAACATGGAAAGTTCAATGTTCAAGGAGAGCTTTTCTATAAGGTAAATTGCACTATCTCCTTTAAGAAGCTATTTTGTTCAACAATGGCTTGCAACCCCCCCAGATTTCCCTAATATTCAATCCAAATTTTCAACTTTAAAACTATTGTTCTTAAGCAGAAAAAGTCCAAGGTACCCTGGGTAATTTAGAAAAATGTTTATACTAGTTTTTAAGCACATATTATTAAGCAAATACTGCACCTTTGTTTTCTCAGACCTAAATCCTTTCATTCTGTTATCCATCATTATTGATTTGTCTTCCCTCTACTTGCTACCCAGCATCAATCCTCTTTAAGAGAAAGAATCCCATCCCTCTTCCCACTAGTGCCCAAACAGTTATTTGTAGACAAGTTCTAAACTTCATGAAATATTTTTCTCTCTCTTGAGAACAAATGCTATAAAAAACCATGGTTATAATACGCCACATGGAAATAACAGTCACCTCTACCTCAAGTAACGGTGCTTAAAAATAAAATACCTGGAAAACCACCTGGGAAACCACCAAACTGAGCTCCTCCTGCCTGTCGTCTTGCTTCTTCCTCCTGCAGATGAAAGCACATCATTCCACACAAAGCAATGGAACTGCAGCCTGATTTCTACTGCTTAATTGGTTTTTAAAAGGAAAAAAAAATAGCTGAGACTGTTTATTGTGATAACTTACCTGCCTGAAACAAAGCACTTTATATACAAACCACTAAGAAATAGCAATGTCTACTCTTACTTTAGTATGATTTTGCAGATGAATTACATACAATATGTTTTTACTGAATACGATTTGTTTTAGTTCTGAAAATGCAAGTTGAGGAGCTAACCCCCACCCCTAACATATTAAAATATATCAGAAAAGCATGAAGAAAAAGCAAGCAAGCTGTGTCAGGAAGTGAGGAAGAGAAGCAAAGTATTATCCCGAATTTAAAAGCTCCAACTTCAGGAGACAGAAGTACTTTAAGTGAAAACTATTCTGGTACACTCATACAATAACTGGCTTCTTGAAATACAGGATTAGTAAAGATTCCAGAGCCTGTTTGTCATAAGCCATAAAAGCATATGCAGTACAACACCCTCTTCTCCAGATTTCATTATTGGTGAAGTAACCAAGACAGAAATCAACTCTCTAAAATATAACTGTAAGACTTGAAATGAAAGTAATTCTTCTCTGCAATTAATTTTAACCAAAATAACTATGACACTCTCCAAATTAACAAGAAATATTAAAGTCTAAGTATTCACCCTTTGTGCTCTCTCATGCTCCTCCCGTGCCTTCTTCGCTCTTTCCATTCTTTCCTTGATTTCCTTTTCTTCACGCTTCCGCTCATATTTTCGGCGATGTTCTGCAATTTTCTGAGCCTGTTACAATAGAATGCCAAGATTTCATATACATTTCTAGCATATTACACAACATATTTCAACACAAAATACTTGTAAGCATAACCATCTGCTTTTACCAGTGCTTTAAAAATAAGATCTGACTTCACATATCCTAAAAGCACCTTTGTTTTAGGAGTCATTTGCTACTTCCTCTCTATGGCAATCAGTTATTCACGTCTACTCAGCCGTAACTGGATTCATCAGAACACGCACTCTAGGATATTTTTTTGCTATATAACTCTGGACCTTGCACTGTAGTTAGAACTTAAATGCTTTATCATTCCACATCCCTTCATGCTTTTATGCTGAAATATTAATTTCTCCAGGGCTAAAACCAGCAACTGCCCCGGAAAAGAGAATTTTCACTGTCTGAACAAGCAGAAGTATAATTCCCCCTGCACACAAACACTTAGATAATGTTATAGCTGTTCCAGATGCCTTTGCAGCATGTACAGCTTGACATAAGCAGGCCAAAGAATTCCTGAACCAAACCAAGAAAGGGCTGATGGGGAGAAAGTTTGCTTCCTATTACTAGATTCTTCTCAGGTCTATCAAAGCTACAGCCCCAGCAGAGGAGAGTCATTAGCAATGAACCTCCCAAGGCTTGTCACTCAGAGCTCGTTATAACAATAGAACACTAACTCTAGCACTGCTTTCCTGAAACCAGAGTGTATCCTTATATAGCGTTGCAAAAAATGGTTCATGATTTCACAAACTGCGTACTCTGTAACACTCCTGTAACTAAAACCACAGCAAAATCAAGGTTCAAGAACAGATACGCTAACTACTACTACAATGGATACTCTTCTGTTCTTTCAGGCTATCCTTTAAAAAAAGAAATTACTTTCTAAGTAGTGAAGTTTCAATACAACTTATTTTAGCTAGGAGATACTAATTCCATACTACATCATTCTTGAAGTATATCTGCCAAAGAAAGCACGCAGCAGGACTGACTGGTACCGAACGCAGTATGTGTTATCAGAACCCGATGTTACAGCCTTGTAGTAGTTCATTAAGAGAGAGGTAAGATTTTTGTTGTGGGTTTGGTTTTGTTTGGGGTTTTTTTTAATGAAACAAAGAGTTTCCAAACTTTTGATTTTCATTGTTTAAGTATTTCTTAAAATGAATTAAGCCTTTTTAGAATATGACTCAATTTCAGCTGAAAGTGCTATGAACTAAAAAGTACTAGGAAAGCTGGAAGTGAATAAATTAGGTGAACATATACTAAAGATTAAAAAAAAAAAATCACCCATGAAAAGATCATACATTTTTCTTTGAGCTACATACACAAATTCCCATATAGTTGACAACTACACAACAATGTATCACGGACATACTCTGCTGTTTCTGTGCATGGTCAGGTTCACTGGGAAATAAAAGGTTCCGCCTCAGCCAAGTGTTAAGTGTACCTCTTATAAAAAAAGGTTGAGACCGAAGACCTCATTACATTTCCCACAGATCAATAGTCTCCAACACAGAAGACTACTAGGTTGTAAGATGGTTTCTGTTGTTTTGCTGGAGACAGCCTCTTCTACAAAGACATGGTAGGAAAACTGAAAGCTGAAGTTATTAGACACTGGAATATTTATGCATGTGGTGGGTTAAGCTCAGCTCTCCCTCAACAGGACAGGGAGAAAAAAATAAGATGGAGAAGCTCCATCTTATTTTTGGCTTGAGATAAAGACTGGGAGATAACTCATCCACTACCATCATGGGCAAAACGGACTCAACATGGGGAAGATTAATTTAATTTATTGCCCATTAAAAACAGAGTAAGATGATGAGAAAAACAAAACTAAAACCACTTTCCCCCTATTCCCTTTCTTCCCATTCATTTGTTCCCCACTCTTCCACCTCCTCCCCACACCCCGAATGGCACAGGGGATTGGGGGCTGCGGTCAGTTCGTAACACTGCACCTCTGCCACTCCTTCCTCCTCACACTTTTTTCCTGTTCCAGTGTGGGGTCCCCCCCACAGGGTATGGTCCTTAAGAAACACTGTCCCAGCATGGGTCCCCCGTGGGCTGCAGCTCCTGCCACAAAACCAGCTTCTGCATGGGCTCCTCTCTGCAGGCTGCACTTTCTGCCAGGAGCCTGCTCCAGTGTGGACTCTACATGGGCTGCAGCTTCCTTCATGCTAAAGTAAGTGGATGTGCCTCGGCATCCTCCGTGGGCTGCAGGGTGGGTATCTGCTCTACCATGGACCTCCACAGGCTCAAGGGGGACAACCTGCTTAACCATGGTCTTCTCCACGGGCTGCAGAGAAATCTCTGCTCCTGTGCCTGGCACACCTCCTTCCTCTTCCTTCTTCACTGATCTTGGTGTCTGTAGGGTTGCTTCTCTCCCATCTTTTCTTTTCTTCACTCCCCTCTCTCTCACAGCTGTTGCACTGTGGTTTTTATCCCTTTCTTAAATAGGTTATCACAGAAGCACCACTGGCATTGCTGACTGGCTCAGCTTTGGCCAGCAGTGGGTCTGTTTTGGAGCCAGTTGGAACAGGCTCTGTCTGATGCAGGGGCAGCCCCATATTTCTTCTTACAAGAGGCCAGCCCTGCAGTCTCCACCTCCCCAAAACCTTGCCACTTAAACCCAATACACTAAAACAGCTGCCATCTGTGGTCTGTCAACCACTTTAAAGGAATACGCAAAACAGATGAAAAAGCCTGCTATCAACAGGTTTACGTTTTTTACATAGGAGTTCTTCCTTAGAAGAATGTAGGGGTCAATCACTTGAGAAATGCTGAAAACCAGTCTTACAGAGATTATGCTGCCCTCATGGGGTAGACTAATGAAAGTACAAGTCACAGCAAAGAGTGCTTCCTTTGTAAAACATGTTAAAGATGAAGCTTTGATCAATTCAGAAACATTTTGAAAAAAATCCATTATCAGTGTTCTCTTCCTCTTCTGAATGTTTTAGTCTAGATTCTAAAATGCCTGGCAAACTTTAACTATTTCAGATTCTTCTGTTAAGATTTTTAAAAAGGAACATATTATTTCATAGTTCAGTTACATGCCCAGCCCCAGAGACTGAATTTCTCTACACAGAGCCATAAACAGGTGTGACTGAAGTCAGAAGTATTTATAAACTCAACATGAAACGTCACTCAAACATATAGGAGTAACTTCTGTTATGCCTCCCCACTTACTCTTGGTTGCACCTCCTTCAGCATGGCGCTAGCATCTTCATCATAATCCAGTTTACAAGCTAATGCAAGATCATGAGCAGCCTCCTCCCAGTGACCCAGAAGTCTGGAATTCAGAAGACACAAACATTCAGAAGGAAAAAGCAAATTAAACTCTTATAGTTCTTCAAAATACTTACAACCATGCAACATTCAGTATTTTTACATGTAGCTGTATGGATTTACGTAAGTTTAACATTTAATAATCATGGTGTTTTCTGTCACCTGCACACTACGATACCATTAGAGGATTCTTGCTTGCTTTATACCCTTAATTTTTCCTTGAAGTAAAACTGAGGAAAAAACCCCTCGATCAGCTAGTGTCATTGTTTGCTATAAACAAAAAGGGTCTAACAAGGAGAAGGTACCCTACCTAAACACGTGAAGCACACCAAAAATGCTCTGCATAACTAGGCACATCTTCAGTGTAAAACTACACGTTCACTGTTCTGTACAAGTCTAGTACCTCTAGCTTGAGGTAGTAGTGGTCTGGACCTTCTTTACTCAGCACTCAAACATCCTAGCTAACTGGATGCACCACATCGTAGTTGAAGAGATCATACAAGCTACTGTGCACACTTCTTAAGGATTCATTTATACAAACTCTTGATAACCAAAACTTTAAGCAAATGGTGGTACTCCTAAAAGGTCAAAGCACTTCTGCTTACAGACAGAGGTGTTAATCCAAACGTTGCTCCACTCTTCTCACTCTTAGGCTCCAGACTGTGCACTAAAACTGTAGACATTAACAAACTACTCTCTGAATACTCTCTGAATGTTTAAAATGCCTTCCCCCCCCGCCCCCAAATCTATTAGAATTTACTCCTTCCACTTTTACACAGACCGTAATAAGCGTCACCCTTTTTTTTTTGGCTGATATATTGTCATTTAAAAAACTAAATTAACTATAGCTGGAGGGGAATGCACAGTGGCCTAATGCCATTGTAAATAATTACACTGTTTGCTTAGTAACACTCTTGAATTGCAACAAATTATTTCCTTAAGAGCTAAGCATTTAATTTACTATGTAAAAGAGCTCTATGATCTAATGGAATAAGAGCAGCAGAGAAATGTTTAAGAATTACAGGTTAGTAAATAAAAACTGTAAAAACAAAAGACCTCCAAACAAATAAAACCCAGAGTTCTGGAACTCACAATATTTAGCAAATGATTAGAAAATGCTATTCGGAACAGCAGTTAAGTCATTAGAAAATATGTTTAAAAAGAAAAAGAAAAAAGATAAAGAGACAGTGCCAGAAGGACTACTCAAATTGCCATCAATAAATCAGCATTATCCTTTCTTTCCTGTAAGCCATACATTCAGCATAATGGTTTCTTGGCTCATGGCTACTGCTCTCAGGTACAAGACAGTTCAGAAATTTACAGGAGGAGAGAATGCATAAACAAAACTGCTCCCCCCCCAAGTAAGTAAAGATAACATCAACTACACATGCAGTTCATTACCTATGCGCTTTCCCTCTCCATTTGTAGGTCTGTGCCGAGTCAGGATTTATCTTGATGGCTCTGTCACAATCTCTAATGGCAGCATTTGGCTTCTGGAGTTTCACAAAAACACTGTGGGAACAAGAACATTTATTGTACATATTGAAATACCAAGTTACTAACTTAAGCTGGAAACAATTTTGGATGACTAACAGGCAAGCTAGTGAGATAATACATTTGAAGAGCCGAGTTCAAAAAGATTTCTAGTGATAATGAAGCCACTAAAATTTAGTTTCTCCCCTCCCTCGCCATTGTAGGTGAATCATTAGCAAGAAGCAAAAGCGTCATTCACTGTTCAGACTCAAGTCTTGCCAGTAAGAAGAACTTTAGTGCGCAAGGAAAGGATATATAAATGCAAAGGGAAGTTCAGTTCCATGGGGTATGGAGTCTATAGCCAACGGCAACTAGCAATTCAAACAGAACAATATTATGCATGCCATATTACATAATCTTTAAAACAGTAAGACAAAGAAAGCACGAGTTATCATACAGGCTACAAGGATCAACGGCTAAAATCATCAGGAACTACAGAAGGACACAGGAGATGAGTCATCAAAATCAGAAGAGGCAAAACAAAACACAAACCCAGAAAGTAGCCCAAATGTCCTGTCAGTTAAGTGAAATAACTGCAAATTTTACAATACACAAGCATATCAGATTAACTACTAGAGCAGTATGTTTAGGAGATTCAAACATTTCAAATTAAAATCTCTGAAGGAAACACTAAAAAAAAAATAAAATTCCTGAATTCACAAAAGTATTTAATATTCAAGATACACCAAGTCAGAACTTCTGCCCTTTTACATCTACTTGAAGAAAAATCATCAGCAATTAGAGCACCTCTAAGTAACTTCATCATTAAGGCTTGTTACAAAGCAAGCATAAAGTCACACCATTCTCTTCTAGAAACAAACAGGTGAACAACGTGTTAGGAAACTGTTCCAAAGCTACACCTCACCAACGAGACATTCCAGTGCTGCTGGCTGCACAAAAATCCTTGTCTCCCAAACACAACACCCCACCCCGAACCAAAACCCAAGACCACCAGAGGCAGGTGGATTACTCAAAACACTTGATCAGCACTGTTGTTAACACTGTAGGTTTTACAATATCCTAATATATCGTTTAGTTATTTCTACAATAGACCAAATTGAGGTAACTTCTATAAACACTCTTATTTTTCATTGCTAATCCCAGTCCTGAGAAGACATGGCACTCTTACTATGACGGCAACAGTGTATTAAGATACACAAGTGGTGTTACATGCAAAAACTTTGATACGGAAAGGAAAAGAGCAAGGCATGTACCAGTTAACATGTACTGGAATGGAACAGTTAAAGGATACTAATTAATCACACGAAAGTCATCAAAAGTTGATTATTTCTTTGAATTATACCTTGCTAGGGAAAAGACCCACTAAACCATCAAATCATCCACGGTTAGTGGGGGTTTTGTGTATAAGGAGAAAAAAAAAAATCCTGGGGAACTTGCGATTCTGCAACCCATACTTGCCCAGCCTTCCTCAAAAATAAGGAAGATAAATACGCTTGTGCATTATGAAGTTAGGGCTACCACACATCACATCTGACAGTGTTCCCACTGCATTATCTGCAGTCTGGTAGATGTAACTAGCAGCAAGGTGGGTATTGAATGGGTTGAAAAATAGGTACAACCTGTTCAAATGTAGGATTGTTGAACAGAAACAAGTCTACTTCACAGTGAAAGAATTCATTTAGCAGGTACAACAGGCAGAGAATTCACACGATCCACCATTAACTTTGTATCTAAACAGGACATTACTTCAATCATCATCTTAATTCTAGAAGAAACTTCAGATTTTACAAGTGTTTGTTACCCAGCATTATTCTAACTCAACAGCCCAAAAGGCTTATTAGCACAATGCATTTTGGAACATCATTTTGTTACTTACTCAATATATTATCAAGATTGTTTAGGTGGCTGCTTCAGCTATGAGAGAAAATGCATGAAGTGTACTTTTTTCTCTCCCTCATGCGGTTTAAGTTTACACAGATCCTCAAGTTGCCATTATATTTAGGTTCCTTAAGAAAAATAACTGAAGAGGCAGAAACATAAATCACTGGTTTATAATGACTCACCTTGCCCTCTTGGCATACAAGATGGCCAAACAAGGATTCAGCTTGATAGCATCTGTGAACAAGTCGACAGCTTTCTGAAGTTCACCTAAGTATGAGTACCAGTAAAGTTTTGATCATTACCCAATGAAATTACATCCAAATTGCCAAACCTGCCTTACAGGGTGTTATGTCCCCAGGCACTTTCATAAATGGAAGATTATCAACAAAAGAAAAATGAATTTCTCCCTCTTGCTATACTACTGAAGTACAAACTCCAAAATTAATGCTGGAGGGGAGGAGAAACTTTTCCCAGTGACATTTGTACATTTAACTTTGTATGCAATCAAATCTGAAGTCACCTCTTTATTACACAGCTTTTTACTGCATGAAGACAAACCACCAGAGACTCTAATCATCATATGTTTTTTATTGTACTTCCCTACAATTTGTAATTAAGATGCTGCAGTACCTCTTTCCACCCCTGCCCCAAAACTATAGCTGCATTGGGAAGACAGTACTTAAAGAAGCTTTCCTGTTCTAGATAGTTTTGTGTATCCAATAGGAAGTGAGTTTTCTCTTCCTTGAAAGCATTCAAAATGGTCATTTACTTCCTTTTCTTAAAAGAAGAGCCTAATGTCCTTGAATAAGTACTGAAAAACAATTTATCACCTTCACTTAGAGCATTTATGGCTTCAATCTTCTTCTCATTGGCTTGATCCATCATCTCTTCACTTACCTAAGAAAATGAAAAACACAGACAAAACCCAAAAGCTGCAGAGTCCAGGCCAGAATTACCATGCTAAGACAGTGCCAAAGAAGGGAGGCTCCAGTTTTCTGATTCCAGAATGTTGTTCTTAATTTGCATCGAAATCATAGTTAAAAAAAACCCACCAAAACTTTTTGCTTTCAGCTTGGAGATGTTAGCCACCATTATTTTTAGCTAGAAAACGCTCAAAAGATAAGTTGAATAATGGCAGATTTCTACATATCTAGTTTTCATGGGTGTTTTGATTTTTTTTGTGTGTTTTCTGGCCTGATTTTCCCCACTGAACTTTTTGATGGACTCTAACCTTGAATAAGACAAGACTGGTTTTAAGCCAGTAAGTTTCCTATTTAAGGGAAAAAGAGCCAAAGCAATGGCTGGCTACCTAGCTAATATAGTACTCATCCCCCCTCAGCTGCCATCCTTGACTAAACTCCAAACTTGCCCCTATCTTTCCTACTACCACAGACATTGAAAATATTGTGCTTACCTCCACATTTTCATCTCCCATTTCTTGAGGGTCATCATTGTCTGGTTCAATCACTCCCTCATTGTCAATTTCTGGGGGAAAAACAAAAAGCAAGATTAAGCTCCACCTACAAACACAGAGAGGATTTCCAGAATCATGTTCAAATTGGTGAAACGTGATAAAGTCATGTATTTTCCACACCTAAGTCGCTCTCTTCACTTTCTGGTTCAGGTGATTTAACTGGCTCCTCTGGCTGTTCCTCTGCTTTGCCCTGAAAGAGAAATGTAATTGTAAGCATGTATTATTTCGGAGTGATATTCTGTTCCCACTCAAACAAATGAAAATGCATCAGAAAATCCAAATCTTCAAAGGATTAGATTGCCCTATAGCTAAACTGTTTTAAGACTCAATCCCCTTTTTCCTCCTCTCGGATTAAGTCCATCATGCATGCAAATAATTCAGAGCCCAAATTTTGACTTATGAACTTCTATTATTGGTAAAGTCTGCCCTTCATATTGCTTAATTCAATAATAAAACCCAAATAATACAGATAATACCCAATTCAGAACCAGTTTTGCCACTAACCATCCCTTCCAATCTTCCTGCCTTCCCTCACACATTCTCTGGATGAAAAATTCTCTCAATCTAATACTATTAAGCTAAGGTCCTTTAGCAGTGAACAATAAGCTGGTGTGAAAGATCAAAATATTGTTTCCATTTGTCAAGGTCAGATATCTTTGCCACTTATACATATTTAGAATGTTTTCTCAAATGTTTTCCTATCAGCTTGTAACTACATTACTAATCTCCTCTGAATCCCATAACTTAGCGCATCCTGCTATACCAGACATAAGCTGCTTGTCTTCATACTCAGTGTCACAGACTATACTCACTACACACACACAATCCCTCCATACAGTTCTAACGAGCCAGTAATTCCAGCATCCACTGTCTCGTTAAATTAAAAAAAAAAAATTAATTTACTTTTTCCAAAGGATGTCAAGCTTGGGGAAATCCTGTTACAAATATCTACAACCAAATTTATTATCTACCTTAAAACAAATGAACAAAACCCAATGAAAAACTCTTCCACAACACTGCCTCAAAAAGTTGATAGTTCAACTGTTCAATTCATTACCTATCATGCTCACTAATACTTCTTCTCATGCAAAGATTATAATTTGATCCACTGACGAGTACAGAAGAGGTGTATAAACAGCGACAACATAAAATGGGAAATCAAGACTTTGTTTGGCATTTGCATTGCACAGAACATCAGGCATTCAGGATTAGGGAAATGGAGCATGATAACACTTGAAACAGACTAGGAAGCCATCTGTAACAAGTCATCTACATCATGCAATGGGCAGGCTTCAGACTGAACTGTCACACTCACTCACCCTAGCATATTCACCTACCCTATTTGAGTGAAAATTGACAGCTTTTTTTTCCCCTTCTCCTGCTCAGTACCTTTTGCAGTGTCCAAATGTTAGTTTTCAATGATAAATTCTTCATATCTCACCTTACTTGTCTCCTCTGCGGAGGCATTGGCTGGAGCAGCTGGTATTGTGCCTCCCATGCTTTTCAGCAAAACAGAAAAGAGAAAAAACAAAACAGTAAGATTATCAAAATAGTGATGTATTTGACGGATTCAAATCCTGCTGATAATCTCAGGTTTTTGTTGCAACACAAAACACAATGATCCAATGCACTGTAAAACCAGCACATAAAAAGCACACATCCACCATGCTTTTCACAGTGTAACACAGCACACACTGTCTGTCGGCTTTTTCACCTAGGACTCCATTGTGACTTGTACTCGCACACATCACCCACCATTTCTCAGACAGAAAAGCTGCTTCCTTGGCTGAAATGGATTTTCTCCTTAAAACGTAACTTATGTTTTAAGTCAAAACTAGATATTGTTATTATAGATATTACTAAATTTAGAATTATTTTTGGAACAGAAGTCAAACAACTTAAGAGAACCCTAATGGCCCAAAATGCTTATGCAATTAAAAAATTGCTGCCTAGAAAACAACTTCATTTCTCTTATGTATTGCAATATTGCCTTTCCTTAGCTACAAGTTAAGGAGCATTCTCTGTATAGAGAGCATTCTTCCAATACAGAATAATCTTCTATATTGCATCAACTTTGGTTAGCAGCCAGAAATAAGCACAGGCTGAATTCTCCGGTTGTTTCATATAACATCTACTCATACCTAATGGCAGGCTGCCACAAGGACTACCATTCCCATCTACTGAGTTCTCAATTGCTCTGGCCATACACACTCCAACAGGAAAAAAACCCCCCACGTTTCTATCAACTCAACAGACTCGACCAGCTCCTCGGTGCCCTACACAACTGACTAGACATGATGCAGGGGAGAGGAGAAGGAAGCGGGCAAGAGGAGCTGGAGGGGTGCAGGATATCCGCTTTCAGGAATTAGTGCAACATAAAGCTATATCCTAAGGATGAGATCCTACAGTTTCTTAAGTCAGGCTGCTGCAGTCCCGTTCTTTCCTCTTTCCTCCCTCCTGTCACCAGCACCATCTCACAGTCAGGCCCCAACCTGGATGGGGTATATAGGACAGGAACAGGGATGAATTGAGGGAATAGGAGGTGGCAAGATTGACAGGTCCTGGCACCAAGCCCTGCAGCAAAAAGCAAGCAAACAGCACTACGCTACCTCGAGTTTACAACTGTCAAGAAAAAAAATTACCACAAGTTAAAAACAGGCATCTTCTGAAGCTATTGCAAAAATCTGGATATATCCTTGGAATGCTGATATTACTTAATGTAACTTGTACTGCAAGGACTAAACAACTGCAGTCTGATAAATCGTTATCAGGCTAGGCAAAAAACACAGTGCATGTAGTAACTGTTCCTCCTAATTCCTCACCCTGGTAGGATGACAATAGAGCATATAGTTATCTACCTGGTCTGTAAAATTCAAAGAGTTTTCCCTAGGACTATAGGGACTGGCTAGTGAAGCCTTGGGACTTCTGCTAGAAAACTACAAATTCTGAAGCATTTTAGTAGTGCTAATAGCTAATATCCAGCGTAACACAATACTCACAAGTTAAGATCCACCTAATGCTTGTTGGCAACACTTTTAAAATTTTTTTTATTTTAAACAGTAAGAGTCTTTCAAAGCCTGGCTTACTGGAAAAAGACCAAGAACCTCTAACACAAGGAGGCCAGTAACATTCCCAGCTTCCAATCAAGTATTTAAAAACAGCTCAAGTTAAAAAAAGCACAGGAATCAAATTCTTCAGCAATTCCAAATTATCAGTCTTAAGATCAACTGGTTTTAAGTCTGACACCTTGAATCATCTCAAGGCTGAAACAACTTGGTCAGTCTCCTCTGCCCTCTTCACATCCCCTCCAAAACTATCCAAGCTTAGAGCAGACTATGAGATATGTTTAACCAATATACATACACATTTTAAAATACGCTATTTCATAAACTGCCACGGCTAAACACTTTCACTCCTAATCCTTGAAAACGTTTTTACTATCCAGTTATCCTCTATTGAATCTAGAGTTACAATCCCAGAACAATTCAAAAGTAAGTTACTGTACAATCATCCCCGAAAACAGCATTTGATTACAATGATTGAATGCACAGCAAGGATATGCAAAGTTCGCAGTGTATTTAACCTCAACAGTACACAGATATGAGACACTCTTGTAGGAAAAGGCAGGTACTGAGCGGCATAAACAGCACACACACAAAAACCACATTTTACAATTAAATCTTTGTGCTAAAACAGAATTATGTGATTCCAGTAACAGCTCTTGGGAGCTGTCAGGACTCCATTTCAACAAAAACTGCATACTTTCACTCATCACAGTGATGAGAAACACTGCTTTTATGACTTGTTGGAAGAACCACGACTGTTATTTCTCCATCCACTTTTCATCACTGACAACAAAATTATCTTTAGAGAGAAATGGAATTACCAAGAATTCAAAAGGGTCAAAACCTATCTGAACAAAACAACAGTAACAGAAGGCAAAAAGCTTTGTCCATCAATTAGGGATACTGTGCTTTACTTTTAAGGACTTCTACTGTTTCTTTGCTCAACTGCAGGTTTTTTGAAACATATTCCCTTTGATGACTCATTTCAGAACAATTCAACTCAAAATATTTGTATTTTTAAGCAATTATGAAAAAGCAGGCATGACTAAAAGGGATGTCAAAACACTTTCCAAACATAATCATACACAAGTGTATGCTTTCTATATAGATAGCATCTATGTAGAAATTAAATACAACAGCTAGGCAGAATAAAGGTTAGAAGATAGTAAGTGCATGAAAACAGTTAAGACATAAGGTTTCTGATGCAATATTAACAGCTAGCCAGAAATAAAGCATCCCATTCTGGCTGTATGAACAGTTAACATAATTTAAGTTAGAATCATTAAGAAAAAAAAAAAAATCAATCATCAAAATTTTAGTTGAAAAATTTAAAGATGTATTTCAGTATCATTTAGTGACCATTCTGTAATCACTCACATTACCGTGGTGACTAAACCTATGTCTTTTAGATTAATACAGGTAAGCCTGACAGAGATATCAGGATCATTGGGTTTATTTCCACATGAAGCCAGGCCATGCTAAGTTTCAAGCAGTTTCCAAAGAATGAGAAGACCCTATAAATGCATTTAATAGTCCTCCTGCAAATAGCACAAATACGGAAGGTAAGAGGGGACTCTACCAGACTTCCCACCAGTCTGACATGAAAAGCAATTTGGCTACCACTCCAAATATCCAAGTATATAACCTACCCAAATATTCAGCTCAAATATGTGAAGAAAACTAGAAAACTTAAAAAGAGCTACAGGAGGTTCTACTTTGAAATATTTTTTAACTTCTGCGATAAAGTGAAGGTTTTACATGGAAAAAACATTCCACAGTTCAAACCCTAATTTTTACACTTAACACAAGCACCCTTCTATTAACTAAATACAAACTCTAAAAATAAATCTGGAAGTCAGAGTCCTCCCCATTAGCATGGAGAAAGTCAGAAAACAGATGATCACCTTTCCCTTCCCTAATGCTTTCTCTGGCCAAAAGAAGTCAGTGTTATTCCTCTCTCTCCCAAAATACTCTGTTCACACCTTCAGAATTACGCAACAGAATGGATGTAACCTAGGGTGAGGCACTGAAGTGTTTTGCACAGTAGCAAAAGCAACTAAACAACTGCAGTCAAATAAAATAGATATGCATCTCCTTCCTAGGCATATGTGCAGTTACTACCAGTACTGCAAAACTGAGCGTAGTTAAATCAGAGTGGTTTTACAACCACATTAATATTCAGATGCATAAAAAACTTTAAATATCACTGTAAAATAAAAAAAACCTCAAGTAGTTCACTGTAATAATTTTCATTATACAACATATAGCAAAACACCAGTATTTACTTATATATATATATAAATGCACACAAAGCCCCACTAGTTTTTCAACTAATTACCAGTACTATACAGCAGAAAGCACAGTTAAAATACTTTCAGATTAAAATTTAAAGTAAATTTTCTAAAATCCCAGCTTGTCGCTAAATAAAAATCTTTTAAACTTCCCCTTTCGCAAAAGGTGTATCTGGAAGGACTTCCCTCGCTTCTCACAGTCCTTCGTGGTAGCGAGGGTTGCAGCTACGAAAGGCAGGCAGAGGCAGCCTAGCTGAATTACAGGGCTTCTCTGCCAGCACGAAAGCACCTCAGCCCTTCCAACCCCGGGCGCTGTGGGGGCCGGGGGGGGAAACCAAAAAACGTTGGGGTACGGAGGAGCCCCCGCCACGAGGCGTCACACGTGCGCAGAAGAGCGCGCGCCTGAAGTGCCTCACAGGGGAGCAAGGGTTTCACTACGTGATACTTGAAACTTCAAAGGGGCAAAAGATATTTTGGCCAGGAACCATTACGTGTTAAACTGTCAGGTATTTTACGCTTTCGGGTACCAGGATGTAAACCAACGCCACTCACCTCCCCACAAACTCGGCTCCTTTTAAGACAGGCTAGCCAACTCTGCTGCATAATGCGAGAATTGGCTCGGTAAGTATTGCTCTGGGGCTTTCCAGCCTGGAAA